CTCCATAAAGATGGACCAATAATCAAGTCCATGGTGTTAAGAGCCTAAAACAAGATGTTTCTGAGATTTCTTGTTGGTTCCTTTGCAAAACACATGTTTTGGATCAACCCTTGTTCCTTTTCCAAGTGCCATAGTTTTGTTGTTGTCTTGGTTAATTAAAACTGGATTCAGGACTGCATCTAGCTCACCACAGGATGCTGCAATTAGTCCTGAGAATAAAGATTTGTAATTTGATTCAAAATTCTGAACAGATCAAAAACAAAACAAAAAAAGTTTGGAGCTTTTGTTTGAAATACACAAGAACTCTAATCTAAGAACAGAAGAGATACTTTCCCGGGTCTCGATTTGTACTCGGGATGGAATTGAGCATCGATGAAAAAAGGGTGGCTTGGAACTTCAACAATCTACAATATCACCATTAGATTTAGAGAAGAACATCATGTGAAAGCTTTAAGCTTTACGTACCAAACTGAGTTTAATTTAGTTTAAGGTTACCAGACAAAAACCAACCTCCATTCGTTCGCCAGTTTCATCTTTTGCAGCGATAGAAAGACCCGATTTCTTGAGGAATCCTACCATCTCAGGATTCACCTGCAAGAAAACCGTAAGTTACATCATCAGTATCAAGAAAAAGGCCAACCAAAATGTTTATTTAAATATCCGTACCTCGTATCTATGGCGATGCCTCTCATCGACAAACTCTTTGTTCCCATATCTGCAAGAACATAGTTGTTACCTACATAAGTAATATAGAATTCGCATAGTGATTAAGATCGGTGATGGTTTCTTACATCTTGCAGATTTGCTGTACTTGACATGGAAATAGGCTCTTCTCGAGCCTAATCGCATTGTGCCTCCCATATGAGTCTTTGAGCCCTCAGGCATGAATATGATGCATGGATGATTGGTTTCAGGTTTGAACTCTGAGCTATTTGCATCAGGCAAGCAGAGAACTGAGCGTGCAAACTCGATGACAGCGATCTGCATCCCGAGACAGATACCGAGGAATGGGATATTGTTTTCTCGTGCGTATTTTTTGTTGCAAGAATCTTCCCTTCCACTCCCCTCTCACCAAACCCTCCAGGGACAAGAATTCCATCTGCTCCCTAAAGAAGCGACACGCCATGTCATGAGGCTTCTCGAAGATTAAACCCGTGGAATTTGCCAAAAGTTGAAAACAAACCTTCAGTAACTTCCAGGCAGCATCGTATGCTCGTGAATTCTGTCCAAAAGAAACAAAAATTCTGTTTTAGAGTTTTCAAGAACAGAGCAAAAACATAAATGTTATGATTCACATTTGTTGACCTCTTTCTTGGTGGTCTTTTCAAAATCACAAGATGGAACCAAATCAACTACAAGCTTTTTGCGAGAAGCCACAGAAGCATGCAAGAGGGCTTAGACAATGAGCCAAGGCCAGGAAGTCACTTGAACATTAAACCATAGCCAGAGAATAAAGAGCCATGAGAAAGTAATGTATTAAGTTTTACCTTCAAGACAGAGAGATATGCATCTGAGAGGTCTGTACATTTTCCCACGACTGCAATTCTCACCTGTACAAATTGACTTGGTTTGTTAAGAAAAGAGACATCGAGGCTACGAACTGTTGATCCAAGCAGGTCGACAATGAATTTATAATAGATCGGAGGTCGGAGAATCTCATATATAGAAAGTTGAGTCGAAGAGGTGTAAATACAAATAGATCGCTAAAGATAGTCCGGACAGATCCCGTGCTATCAGTTCGCTAGCTAAGAGATCGTGGTAGATCAGACAGCCCCCGAACTACCAGATTTTGAGTATAAAGAGTATAATTTAGAGAGCTCGCGAGTGGCGGCGCTTGTACTTCTTGAGGAATAAGTGAATGAATTGTCACATCACCCTTTGACCTCTATTTATAGTGAAAGGCGGCGGGTTTAACTTGAGTTCAGCTGACCGTGGTTGATCTGATATACCCCTGTTTTGACCAAGCTCAGTTCGGATATGACTTAGGTGTGATCAGATCGCGGTTAACAGTTGGAGTGGGCCTCTGGCAACCCCCTGGGCTTCTCCCGAACTCGCTGGGCCTCTGCTTCCTTTGGTGATTTGCGACTTGCGATCTGTTCAGAATGTTGGGCCGCAGGTCCGGGCCCAACAGTAGCCCCCCCGGTCAACGAAACGAGGCGGTCTGAGCTTCGTTGATTTTACTGGCCCTCGCTGCGGTTTCATCTTCTTCGAGGCGTGACCCTTCGTATTCCGCTCTGGGCCTATAAAAACGGGACTTTACTTCTGTTTTCCTCTTCATTTCGCTTCGACTGCTTCTCTCTCTAAGGTACTGTTCTTTTTCCTCTCTCTCTCTAGCTTCCTCCTGTTTGTGTTTTCTTTGATTTTTCCGATCTGTTCTCCGTCGTGGTCTTCATCATAACCGTTAATAAAACGCCGTATCGATCTGGAATCCCGTCAGATCTGTTCCCGCTGCAATCATGGTCTCTTCAACCACCGACTCCCAAAATGAGCATCTCTCTGACCCCGGCAGAACTGATCCGTCCTCCGCCGAGAGTCCTGACGTTTTGACTCGCGAAGGGACTTCATCGGATGCCGATGAGAGGGTGGCTAGCGGCAACTCTTTGGCCGAAGACGACGCTGGATCCAGTTCTGTTGGTAATCCGGAGGTCGGAGCTTCGCAGCCCGCAGCTGCTAAGCCTCGTCGGGCTAAGCGTCGGTCTGCGATTAAAGGTCAGCCCGCAGTTCAGCGAGATTGCTCGAATCCTGACTCCTTCGGTCTCACGTCTATCGACAGACTTGCGTTGGAGCCTTTGNGGCCNGGCTTAGGTCCTGACATCGAGCTGAAGAGAAAGGACGATTTCGATTCGGAGGCCGATCTGTCCATGCTTACGAACATTTGGTCTATCCGTGATCTACCAAGGGAGGTCGAATTTCGTGTTCCCCAGAGCGGCGAACGTCCTTGGTCGCCCCCGGACCGATACATGTGTCTCTATGTATCCTTCTTCGAGGAGAGCGGGCTATTTTTCCCGATTCCGCGACTGCTAATCGAGTACTGCGCTCGCCGCGGCCTGGCCATTTCTCAGCTGACCCATGGGTCTATCAGGAACTTTATGGCGTACCTGGTTTTGGCTGCAGAGCAAGAACTGATCTGTGACTGCGACACNTTTGAGGGGCTAACTGNGCTGAAGCGGAGAGGCTCTTCAGGCCGCTATTATGTTTCGGCCAAACCCAAGTACAATCGGTTAATCACGGGCTCTGACGCCGATAAGAGCGCTGACTGGGAATGTTTTTACTTTTTTGTNAAAATAAACGNTNCGTCTGTANAAAATCCCAANTGGCCTATTCGTGCGAGCTGGAATGTTAACATAAGTACGTTTTTGCCGAAGTGTTTCTCTNTTCTTTGTTCGGGCTGACGTCTAATTTTTTTTTCTTTGTTTGCAGACAGACCGCCGCCAAGGATACTCTACCCCGAGCAGTCTGGTGAAAAATCTCTTGTCGGATTTATCGAGAAGTTGGGCCTCCAGATCTGGCCTGAATTCGTCGAACAAAAGATCCAAAGGTGCATTGGAAGGATCCTAACCGGTTAGTACCCGCCCCGTTCTCTCGATCTCGGATTTGTCAACTCTTTTTGATGACGCCTTCGTCTCTTCTGTAGGCTGTTTCGATCTCGAGCTCGAACCTCTCTGTCCTTTCACGCATCCTCCGGTCGTTCCAAAGGCGAAAACTCTTAAACGAACAGCGAAGCAAATGGGTAAGAAGACAAAGGGGANGTGGAGGAGAGTGGATTACAATGAGGCCGCGTTGGATGAAGTGGTCAAGGCTTCTAAAGAGAAACAGGTTGCCCCAGCTGGGCAGACCGCTAAGCAGAAGCAGACCGTCCCGGCTGGAAAAGTCGTTCCGACTGAGAAGACCGCCACAACTGAAAAGGCTGGGCAGACTTCGGCCAAGGTTGGCACAAAGAAGACAAACGTGGCCTCTACGCTTAGAGGAACCGGTCCACCTGGAAAAGGGACCCCTGCTGGGGGGCAGTCCGGAGCTCCGTCTTCCAAGCAAGCTGAGGCCACACTGGCGGAAAAGAAATCCGGTAAGTCAGTTGCCGCTGTAGCCGAAGGGTCTGCAAAAAAGGTTCCTAAGGACAAGAGACCGCTGGAGGATGCTCCAGAGGGGCGGAATAAAAAAGCTCGGACTGATAACCGGGAAAGTTCCCTTGCTATCCCCGAAGCTATCTNGGCTGNCGCCTCTCCCTCTGTAGACTCCAGAGACTACACGCTTGAAGTGGACTTNAGGGCGCNTGAGCATATGATAAATAATACCANGGCGTGCGCNGATNTGTGGTCCCGACTCCCNTGCAGCGAGGTCTACGAATTTCCTAAACCGGAGGATCTGGAGGAATTCGAAGCATATCGCAAGGTCTGCGGGGCTTCGGTGGAGGTGAGCTCCTGCTAGTCTATTATTCTTGCACTACAAGAAAACAAAGGATTTTCCGACTGGCAAAACCGTCGGAAATCCGTCGGAATACACCTTATT